ATTAAGCAAAATAAAGTTATTCAATATTAGTCACAAAGAAGCAACGCAAATTCCATATAATAGGAAATCCAACAAAAGCATTATAAAATGTTGTTATTCTCCAAACAAATGTGAGAGCAAGCAAATGTCTGTGGCTGGCTTGGTGAGGCTTGGAATCACAAGCACTTCTGGAAAAACAATGGCAAGTGCATCTCTAACAGATGATGGGTAAATCAATTGGTGATTTTTTTGTTGAACGCCGAAGAGTACATTCCTTTGTTCAGAAGGTCACACACTTCAGAGACACAGCTACCTAACCAAGGAGCTTGTTTCTGAAGAGGACACTAAATGGCCCTTCCAGATCCATCGTGCATGGTGACCAGAGAGCTGCTGGCTTTGCTTTTCGTTCCCAACGGATTCACTAAATGAATATGAATGATTCAATAGGGGAAATAATTAAATGGCATTGGCAAGGAAAATTACTAACTACCTCAACGTTTTTAAAACAGTGCTATGTCATCCCAGAAGAAGTTAACCCATGTAACCACTGTAATCTCACGTAATAAGGACTAATGTTTTCTCTGGTTGCTAATCAGGAGTAGTCAGCAGGGCCAGTTTACACTATAGCTGACAAACTAAGAGCAATATGTTTACCAAAACATCCTAAAATTTAGTCTACTCGTAAGCATGGAAAATGTCATAGTCAAATGAGCTCCTTAGCCATTCTAATTTCATGCTATATTAAAGCTGGATGAAATCCTAGCAAATATCCTGCCTAACACTCTCAGCTACACAGGAGAAAACCAAAGATCAGCAGAGTTAAACAATTTGACAAAACTCCACAGATAATTAATGACAGAAGTAAGGTGAAATCTAATGTTGTACAATCACTTTTGAAGGAATCCATTTGGATTACTTTGCTATGTTTCTAAATGAATTAATGCAATGTAAAACTTTGATTCAGAGATAGTCTACTGTTTTGAAATGGAAGGACCATTATTATACACTTATAGTCCCAGCACTCTGACATATAACATGACCCCTCTTCCTCAGAGAATTCCCTCTGGTACTGTCAAGACTGGAGGAAATTGACTATACAGTCTTTCTCATTTTATTTCTTTTCTAAGCCCAACCAATAAGAATCTTCAAAACTACAGCAATATAAAACTAGTGGCCCCAAATCCCTTGGGAGTTTGTAATTATACATTTATTTATACGATCATTTGATCGTGTTGGCTGATTCCAGCAGACGGGAACCTCCTTGAAGGTAGGGGATGTATCTCTTCTCAGTGTTATAACTCCTGCTCCCAACACAGGAGCCTGCAAAATTCATTGTTACTAAATACCGCTGAGTAGACATCCCACCATTCTCAAGATACAGTGACCAGACAAGCAATATTTGTATCACCTAGACACATGTTATCAATGCAAATTCTTAGGTCTCACTCCAGACCTACTGAATCAGAAACTCTGGAGTCAGACCTCGGCAATATGTGTTTGAAGACACACACACACACCCATACACACATGCATACACACACACACACACACACACACAATGCAGAAGATTCTGATATATGTTAATATTTGAGATTTTCTTCTCTGAAAGCACAAGTTTATTTCTAACCATGGGTGGCTACCCAGACCTAGAGGGAAAATGGTGTCCAAAGATGGCAGATTACCACTTAGATACTGGGAAAAATGTATTGACTCAACTTGTATATGTTTTATTCCTATTTGATTATATCCTTTTCTGTGAATGCTAATAAATTATTTCTCTCTCTCTCTCTCTCTCTCTCTCTCTCTCTCTCTCTCTCTCTCTCTCCTTTCAATAGTTGAGTTAACTTTTATTTCTCACAGTCAAGAGAAGACACTGCTCAGAATGATCAGGACAGTGATAACCCAGACACCAGGCCTAGTACTCGACTTCCAACTTCCTGAAGAACAAGCCAGCAGAAATTATATCTGCTCTTGTTCACATAAGTTAGACATAACTTCACAATGGAGCTAGAGTTTAAATTCCTGATTGCCTCCCTTAGCCAATTTAGAAAGTAAGGACTTTATTCTCTTTATTTGAGTTCTTAGAGTGCCTTGATAAATAATTCTCTCCCACCAGAGATGCATCTCAACTTCCTCTTTTGCAATGAATAATTGAACTCCGCTAGGCAGGCAGTTATTGGATTAGATTCTCTTAGACAGCTCAGAAACACTAACCAGGAAGAAGCCTTTTATAGTAGAGCTGTCTCTCTCTCCCACTCTACTTTCTTCTATTCTAATTCTATTCTATTCTATTCTATTCTATTCATTCTATTCTATTTTTTTTCTTTTTGGTGGTATCTTCAAACTATGTTAGGAAAAGTAGATTTTACTTGCATTATTGTGGAATTTTGGATAGGACAATTTGTCCTTTATCTTTATTAAGAGCTAATCCATTGATCTGAGTTCTCAAGCACATTTTTTGTTAATTTTGTATTAAGGTGTTTCCAGGAAAGTCCTGTGTATTTGGCTAGGCTGGGGCTAGCTTATCTTATTCTCATCAATCCTAAATTCCTTCTTGCATTTCACTTTATGGTTGATATCACATCATTCAGTCCTGTATAAATTGAATCAAATAGTTTGCAATAATATAACACTAACATAAAATGATGTATGGGGAATGGAAAAAGAAGACTGACTAGAAAGGTATGATAATGGACTCTTAAATTTTAAGACCAGTGTGAACTATACTACATTTCATGTGTTTCTATACTCTCCTCTTTCAGAAATAGTGTTCCTTGGGGTAACAGAGTTTGGGAATAGTGCTATCTAATAATGCATTCTAAGCTGGCAATCAGCCACTGCCAATTGGGAGTGGTTGGTGCAGGCCAGTTGCTGCTGCGAGATATAGCAAAGACTTGAACATGGAAAAATGCAAGCAGCAATGCCTTGGCTGGAAAAAGTATAAAAAACAAACAAATAATAACTAAATAATTACTAAGCAGGAAAACATCTACAGAAAATGCAAAGTTGAGATGAGATGGGAAAGTTCACATGAATAAATATATTTTGTCCATTAAGTTCAGTCATTACAAACAATGCTTCTTATTCATCTACTCCATGTACTCCACGTGGGCTTTTGTAGAAAAGAGCATGACATGGCTTCCAAGTTGCATTATCAAAAATATGAAATCCTTGATGATCACTCCAAAATTAAGCAATGAGAGTATGAAAGCCTTCTGCCATATAATATGGATGTCATTGGCAAAAGATGAATAATAGACCTTTACTTGGGAAAAACAGGGGAAATGAATCTAGCTCCTTTTCTTTCACTTTAGGGGTTTTAGGTAAAAGATGCATTTAATAAAAAATAGAGCTTTAAATATGAAAAATGTTTGATAATGCCATCATAAATATGTAATAAAACTTGTGAGACTAAGTATATTCACAGTGTGCTGATGTTCACATTCACAACCTCAACTACTAAATGACCCATATCATCAGTGATGTAATATTTAAAAAATCTAGTATCCCTATAATATGGAATGTATCATTTACCTATTATATCTTTTAAAGAGAAAATCTATGAAGAAAATTATTTATCTTTAGAAGTGAATAAATTGAATAAATGGCTTCACATCTTCAAAAATCAATTACTTTTTACTAGTTTGCAGAGAAGAATCAGACTCATGTAACTCATCATCAAATACAAGCAAGTAAATTGATCTTTAAGAGCATCCTGTCTGCTTTGACATTTCTCTTTCAACTAAAATATTTTACAGTTAACTTGAACTTGATCAGGAATTTTACTGACTGCACTTTTGGTTGCTATAAATAAAGTACTACTGAGAGTTTTCAAAGATGTGCTATGAATCAATATCATGCCTATAAACAATTATATAATCAGCACTTTTTAAAGCCTACTTTAGAAGTGGTATATTATGCAAATAATTACATTAATTTACATATAAATTGAAAAATATAAAACTTTGATTTTTATTTTGTAAAAGTACAGTGAATTTAACATGATTTCAATGTATTAGTTTACTCATGTCATTAAGTATAGACAAAATTTTAATTTAATTTTTTTTCCTGGCAAGTGAGAACTATGCTGAATTTCCATCAATGAGCTGTGTAGCAGGACAAAAACCAAATAGCAAATCTTAAAATGTCAATCTGATCCAGGTATGGTGGTGCATGCCTATAATCCCAGCACTCTGGGAGGCTAAGGCAGGAGGATCATAAGTTCCAGCCTAGCCAATATAGTAAGACCCTGTCTCAAAATAAAAAATACCAAAATGAGTGAGAGATGTAGTTCAGTGTGAAGGCCCAGGGTTCAATCCCCAGTGCTGCCAAAAAAAAAAAAAAAAAAAGTCAGTCTGTGAAATCAAATCAGATAGCTTGTGAAATTTGTAATCCTAGTGTCATGTTTAGAATATAGTATAGATCCACTAAAAACCCAATAAATTTTAAAATAAAACAAGGAAATATATAGGGGCATGTCTCTTTGAAAAATGCTTTAGAATGTTACTGGAGTTTAGGTAACAATCCACACTTTCATCAACTAAATCAAAGACTTTCTGTTTGTGTATGTTTCAGATTTGACAATGGAAGTCTTTCTGAATTGCTATTGCTTTTATTTTTAACCTTTGAAAACCTAAAGAATAAGATTTTTCTAAATAAAAATGGGACTCTGGCTAGGAATATACAAAATAGGTCTAACAATTGCTTAGCACAAGCACAGTGCAAAGACCTTAACTCATTAAATGATGCCTATTTGCAAACACAAATGCTATTGTGTGTACGTAATAGTGCTGTCACAGAGCACATCCACCAGGCAGCCGCTCAGTCCACCTTCACTGAGTACCTACTGTGTGCCCAGTGCAGAGTCAGTGTTGCACTCTGCTATTTGTGTCTGTGAAGGATCATCAATCACAGTGTTTGCACTACATGGTTAACATTTTTCTATTACTAGCCAAATGAATCCTGGCCTCTTTACATGATTTATTTAAGTAAGTAAAAGAGTGTGGCCAATTCAGGATTACCTCACATTTATTTAGGAGCCCAGTTTCTTGAAGCCGTGACCAGATGCTCTGTATTCGTCCAGCGTGCTCCGGGTGGGTGGTGGAATTGCCACAAATGCACTGGTGTTTCAGCATCAGAGTGTCATAGACAATTCCTTCAAGATGAAGAAAACATAGCCCAAGAGTGAATAAGGATTTAAGGTAATGGTACATGTTAGAAGATAATATGATTATGTAAAAATAGTCATTCTTTTAAAAATAAATTGTATGAAGAGACAAATCATCAATTATCAACAAATCCTCAGGGCCACATAACAGCTATTTTGTCCTGTGTATCTGCATATGTATGCAAAAATATCAACCCATGGGTCAAGCAGTATTCAGACTTCAGTAAATCTATAAAGTTAAAATTGTGGCCTTTCAAGAAACTTCCGATTTAAATAACCATAAAGCAATATAACCAGTATTTCAAATTATTATGAACTGAATTCAGATAATTCAATTTAGAAGAAGTTTTAATTTTGTTATTAAAGTCACAAAATGAGATGTCTTTCTAAATCCTGAATCTATTTAATGAGTATATCTCAGCCTCACTTTAAGTCAGGGTAACATCTTAGTAATGAACTGGAAGACTTTCCAACCTCTTTCTATTCTGTTGAGCAATTCCATCAAAGTTGTGCAGAAATGATTCTTCTCTGCTTATTTGTGTTTTCATCATAATTTACGTCACTGTATAAACAATATGGCCAGTGTAGCTCTTATAATATTGTGAGATATTTGAGTTATTTCTTTTAAAAAATGAATGTCAATTGGATTAACTTTAATAAAAATTTCATAGGTATTTAATGAATAAAATCTGCTATGGGGAGTTAGCATATTTCATGTTTCAGTTAGACCCTATGTTGGGAAAGATTTTACAAAACTTGATGAAGCAAATTATTTGGGGTACATAAAATAGGATTTTTAAAGCAACAAATTAGTTGATAATTATAGTTCTAATTTATTTTAAGATTTCCACCAATAACCCTACTCCCAGGGGCAGGGGATGTAACTTACAAAATTGTCTAGTTTAAGAAATTATTAAACCAATCAAATCTTTTCAAATAACTGACCATCAAAATACATTTTCAGAAGGGAAAAGTTTGAAATATTAATGATAAGAAACAAAGTACAAAAAATATATTGAAGAACAGGTGAGTTCAGCAACTTATGTTATAAAGTAAGTTAATTAAACAAATTTTATTCTCCTTTTGAATTACATTACTGTGTTAGAGAAATGTTATTCAAAGGGGAAAATATTTTCCCGTGAGTGTACTAAAATCATGCTTTTTGAAACCATGTAGTAAAAATTATGCCTCAGGAAAAATATTACTTAGGGGTCCAAATAATGTCCATTCTTTCTTTTTTTTTTTTTTTTTTT